ATGGCATTCATTGCGAATTCATTTATAAGTCATAAATTAGATTTTTTTGTTACGAGCAGTCAATCCTCTTCTAACACCATTAGGCACACATGCGCCGACTGCCTATATCTTTGATATTTGCTTCTGATCTAAAACAGATTGTGTCTACCTGACCAAAGTCGCGTACGCTTTCAAAATTCAAGGAATACAAATTCATTGATGAAAACAAAAATATTATTCCGTTTTTTTCTTTCTGCCAAATTAATTTTGCAATTTATATGCTAAGCGGCTATACTGTCGATCTGTAACGTCATGCCGATGCAACACGTGTAAACGCAGCGCATAAACTACAGACACTGATTTACAAAATACACAAAAAAATATATTTTTTCTAATTCACGCCTTGTGTGGATGCTTAAAAAATTCTATTTATTAAAAAAATCCATGCCTTGTGTGGCGCGTGTTCACCCATATGAACTATAAAAAATGGTTTGAGGCGTCCGGCCCACACTCTCCCACACTCGGAAAAAGCAACGAAAAAAAAAACCAAACACCCTAATGTTAACGACCCCACAAACGTATAAAGGACCACGATCTGCGAATCTGCACTTGGAATATCGCACGTTGTACAGAACAGGCGCAGTGTTCGCTTTAACGGATGTACTCAAGAAGTACAAAGCCGATATTATTGCCTTACAGGAAGTGCGATGAAAAGGGACTGGCGTCAGTAAATCAGAAGATTACGCCCTGTATTATAGCTGCCATAAAACGAGACATGAATTTGGCTGCGGATTTATGATTAACAGGAGAATAAATTACCTCGTCTCCAGATTCACTCCAGTAGATGTGCGAATTGCTATAATCCATATAAAAGCAAAGTTCTTCTACATCAGTCTCATTTGCACCCATGCTCCGACCGAACAGGCCAAAGACATATTTTACGAGCGCCTAGAAGCAGCATATGACCGTTGCCCTGGCCATGACATTAAAATTCAGCTAGGAGATTTTAATGCAAAAATCGGAAGAGAAAATATTTTTGGCCCCACCGTCAGAAAATTCAGCCTTCTTGAAGAAACATCCCAGAACGGCATGAGGTTGATTAACTTCGCGGCAGCAAAAAATATGATAGTTAGCAGCACCAGTTTCAAGCATCTCGATATACACAAGGTCACCTGGATTTCTCCTGATCAAGCAACGAGAAATCAAATCGATCATGTTGTGATAGACGGAAAGCATTCGTCCAATATTTTAAATGATCGATCAATACGAGGAGCGAATATCGATTCGGACCATTACCTTGTGACAGCCAAGGTGCTCACCCGTCTTAATGTAGCAGCAAAGTTGCGATCTAATGCAAAACGGAAATTTGACGTCGAACAGCTGCAAACTGCTTGACAAAATTATCCCTTGTCCCGATAATAATATAGAAGCACAGTGGCAGAGAATTGCCCACTCCCTACAAACTGCAGCAAAAGCAACACTTGGGTACCAAAAACCACCATCAAGAAACCCATGGTACGATCAGGAGTGTCGTAATGCTACTGATGTGAAAAACGCAGGGTATAGGGCAACCCTGCAGACAGTACCAACACGACAGTACCAACGAACATTGAGAACGGTAACAGTAAACTTTGAACAAATTGAGAGTCTGCCAGTAAACGGCGAGAAGACCAAGCTGATGGTATCAACGCGCAAGACGTCCAGTAGACTCGGACCAACTGTGGAACTTGAGAACTACATCTTCGAGGTAGTCAAAGATCATATATACCTTGGTGCCGTCATAAATAAAACGAATGACATCAGTTTTGAAATTTTGGGAAGGATAGTGTTGACCAACAGATGCTACTATGGTCTGAGTAAGCAACTCAAAAGCAATGCCACCTCCCGCCAGACCAAACTCACACTCTACAAGACTACCGTGCTATTATATGGATCTAAAGCATGGGTACTTACGCAAGCAGATGAGGCAGCTCTTGGAGTTTTTGAGAGAAAAATTCTCCGAAAGATCTATGGGCCGATGTGCGTTGACGGTGAATATCGCCGTCGAATGAGCCATGAGCTGCACCAGCTATTGCAGGACATCGGCATTGTTAGACGTATTGAGCTGCAGCGACTACGTTGGCTAGGTCATATAAAAGCGAAACGGCAGAAGAGAAAGGCCACGAATTAGATGGAAGAATTAAGTGGAAGACAATATTGCGGAATATGATCTTTCAAACTGGAAAAACTGCGCAAAAGACCGACGCTCCTGGAAATCTTTCTGAGCTCGGCTTATGGAACGAAAGTTCTGTCACAAGCCAGTTAAGTAAGTAAGTGATTTTCAACTTAATAATAATCCAAAATATAAAATTTCACCCAATTCGCTTTGGAAAACATGCTCAAACACCTCCATTATACCGAAATTGGGGGGTACCGTTATATGTGGGAACAACAAATACTGGACCGATATTGATAATTTTTCATCTGTTGATTTTCTACCTAATAATAAAACAATATATAAAGTTACAGCCAATTTCAATGAAAAACCGGACCACAATGCCTAAAATACTGAATAATTGGGGTACCAATATATGGGGCCTAGCCTCAAATTTCCGATAATATTCCTAACATTTAGTAGGATGATTTTCCACTTAATAATAAGCGAAAATATAAAATTACAGCCAATTCAGTAGAAAAACGTGTTATACCAAAACGTCGACCAATATTGATAATTTTTGGTGGAATGATTTTGTAAGCTACCGATAATATTACCGCCAATTCAATTGGAAAACTTGCCCACAGTCCTTAAAATACCGAATAAGGAGGAGTAGACCTACATGGGCCTATCCTAAAATTTTTCATTAAAATTCATAATTATGAGCAGTGTAATTTATATCTAATACGAATTCAAAATATATCAAATTACAACCAATACGGTTGACAAAAATGTCCAAACTCCCTCATTATACGGAAATTTGGAAGGTACCATTAAATGGGCCATCCTAATAAGTGCCCCAATATTGATTGAGTTTTGGTAGGCATATTTTGCACCCAATGAGAATCCAAAATACTAAATTTCAACCACTTCATTAGAAAAGCGTGTAAAAAATTCCGAAAATTGGGGCGTACGTTTATGTGGATGGTCCAGGCTTATAGCATGTATAGGCCTACAATATAAGAATTATTATTATTTATTTATTTTTTTATATTTTGCCTATTATGACGAATATATTTAATATCACACTCCTATAGTCCGATTATTATTTTCATTCAATAGAGCTCTTCACTTTCATCTGTAATAAAAAGCTATTTCTTCCTCCAATCATTTGATGGTTTCAAGTGTGTGTGTGTGTGTGTGCAATATCACTCACCTGTATTAAACAATTTTCAATTCCATTTCAGAATCATCTGGGAAATTTAATTGCAGCAAAATCTTCTTGTAAACAATTCACTTATTTCTTTTCAGGACACTCACAACAACAAACAATAACAAGGATATGTGCCGGCGTTCGATTAACAGCTGATTTTGGCATAATACCCAGTGTTAAATAGAAGCGGTTTTGCCGACAGAACATTTTTCAGTTTGTGATCTGAAAATTAAAGGACAAATAAATAGAAAATTTTAAATAATTCATACACCTCTTGCCCTGACTTACCTTTATTACTGAATAGTAGATCTGCTGCTCTAGGGGGAATATCCGTAAAAAAACGTTTTGGGGGTTTCCATAATTTTTTCCATGCTAATGCTTCTGCTAAAACAATAACAATGATATGTGCCGGCGTTCAGTTAACAGCTTAATTTGCTGTCAGGATACTTCTCAATATGTGATCTGAAAATTAAAGGACAATTAAATAGAAAATTAAAAAAATAGGTCAAAATAGGGCAAGAGCCTTTATCTTTCTTACTCAATAGTAGATGTGCTGCCCAGGGAGGAATATCATTTTAAAAAACGTTTTGTTGGGTTTCCATATTTTTTTGCATGCTAATGGTTCAGCTATGCCTTAAAAAATTTTGTTTTCTGAATGATTTGTTGGTGGTTGGTGCTCCATAATTTATTTTAATATCCTCCATGTTATAGATTTATATGTCAGCCCTTTTATTGGGTTCGCATAGTGTGTCAAATCTCTGTCCATGTTTCTACGTACCTGTCAGACAATACACGCGAGCCATTTTCGGTATATTCAGTCTCCTAGCCCAATGTACAACCAGTTTGGTATTACGTTTTCTTCTGGCAGGAGTTAACATTGATATTGCAACCTTATATTAATCCTGATCGGTTTTTGGTTACAAAATATATTATACATACCTTTAGATTTTAGGGATAGACCGACCAAAATTGTAATATAATTTAGCATTTCAATATAAATCCCTGCTTCTTCATAGGCCGCATACAAAAAGAACCACGCATCATTTTCAGTATGTTCAAGATCCTAGTCCAATTTTCAAAACTGTGTGTCTGTATTTTTGTTCCACCTGGTAGGAATTTATAGCACCATAAGAAATTCCTGATCGTTTCTAATGTGTTTTGAATGTGTGCTGAAGGTTACAAAAATCACAGCCTTTGTTTTAATTTTGGGTTATTCAACTGGCGGCTATAGCGGCGCGGGCATTTCTCACCTATATTAAACATAATAATAATAATAATTGAATAATAATAATTAATTGAATGTAAAATAATAAATAACCTGTAAATTGTCATCTTTAATTTTATTTTGTTTTACATTTCCATAGACATTGTGTTGCTCCAGTTTATTGTGAATGCTTCTTCTTTCTTTTATATTGAAGGTTACCATTTTCACTTCATTATTTAATTTTATTATCGATCATTTTCCTTCATTAAGATAATTATTAATTGAATATTTAATAATAATAAGTTTTATTTCAAAACTAAATCGGGTTATCTTGAATTTTTCAAACAAATAAACTGCTTTTTATTGCCAATGCAGTGTTATTGTGAATGATCAGCATTTCTATTTGTTTTGATTTGTAGAGGAAAACGCCAAATATTTATTAATAACAAATTATAGAAAATATTTAATCAATTAAAATGAAAATAACACGTAATAAAAAATCGCATAAAACGCTTATGTTCTATACCACACACTTTCAATATCATGAACCCTATCAGGTATTAATCGATGCCACATTTTGTCAGGCTGCCCTAAAGGTAAGGAACGAAACCATCACCACGATATGAAATTTCTCGAAATTTATAAATTAAATCTTATTTACTTCCAATAGAATAAAGTGATTATTGAAGAACAATTGAAAAAATATTTCCAATCCCAAGTGAAATTGCTGACGACACAGTGTATCATATTAGAGGCGGAATCATTGGGACCACCTCTCACGGGAGCCACACAAATTGTCAAACAATTCTTTGTACACAAATGTGGTCATGAGGGTAAGCCAGTGACGGCCGCGGAGTGCATTAAGCAGATGGTGAGTATGGAAAGAATTTTGAGGAGCAGTTCAAGGGGATATCTCGAATGGAAACAAGTTAATTTTAAGAAGTAGATTGTTTATCGATTTTATACTGCTTATCAAAGGATGGTGGCCTTTGGGTCCAGATTTCAATGATAAAGTGGTTGAGATTGGAGAAAGATTGTCATGTAATTCTGAATCGGGTTTAATATATACATGGCCAATATGATGGCATCATTATGGAACCTCAAGGCCCACATAATATTTAATTTTTCGTAGATGTTTTAAATTGATTTGCAATCAGTCCTTAAACACGACTTAAGCCAACGACTGTCTCATGCGACCCTTGAAACTATTCTCCTTTTTTAAACCCCATCTAATAAACTCTATCCTTTTCATTTGCAGACCAAAGATTCCCGCTACATTGTTGCCTCACAGGATCGCAATTTGCAAGCCTCGCTACGCAAAGTACCCGGTCGTTGTCTGCTCTATTTACACAAAGCCGCCCCCGTACTGGAAGCACCATCAGATGCTTCGAAAAAATGGGTAGACAAAAAGGCAAGAAATCTTCTGCCAGCCGAAGCGGAAAAGAAAATCGAATATCTGAAAAAGAAAGAAGGTCTAATAACCCACAAATCCGATGAGAAGGCACCGCGTAAACACAAAGGACCCAAAAATCCCAATCCCTTATCGTGTAAAAAGAGTAAAAAGGAGAAACAGCAACAACAACAAAGGCAACAATTTAATAATAAAAAACAACAACAGGACCAACAACCAAAGGAACATAAGATAGCGGAGACAAGTAAAACGCCAATGAAACCCAAGAGGAAAAGAGTTAAGTTGCCAGCTCATGTTAAGGAAGTTTTGAAAAATAAAAATTCAAGTTGATGATAATTGAAAGAACGTGAAATGATTTTTTTTAATTTGATAAGGGAAATGAGAGAAATTAAGAAATCAGTGGGATATTTAAGGAACATGATGCGTGGATTTAAAAAAAATATATTTTTTGAAGTTTAAACAAGAAGTGGATTTAAGAAAAAATAATATTTGCATTTTTAACAAGATGTGGATTTAAAAAAAATATATTTTTTGAAGATCCTACAAGGCCTGGATTTAAAAAAAATATTTGTTAAAGTTTTTACTAGGCGTGAATTAAAAAAAATGTTTTTTGTGAAGTTTTTACAAGGCATGGATTTAAAAAAATATTTTTTGAAGTTTTTACAAGGCGTGGATTTAAACAAATATTTTTTGAAACTCCAAAATTGTGAGGATTTAAAAAAATAATTTATCTTTTTTTAATTGTTTCTTATATTTTGAAGTGTATAAATTTTTTTTTTATTAATTAATTACATTAACTTTTTTCTTTTTTTATTATTTATTTATTTTTCTAAATCCCAATTTCTATTCCCTATGCTTCACCATCTCGTACCTTTTGCATACGCTGTGGTGTTATAAACCAATTCATAACCATTGTCAGCAGCGAATATCGTGTTACATAGCACATTAGATTAACGGGAAAGCGACCACACCATGATAGCTGCAGCTTATTGGCCAAGGCAGTGGCATAGAGGTAGGCACACCGTTCCGCAGTCATACGATATCTTTCATTTGTCTCACGACCAAATTTCTCATCCGGCAAGGCAGTAAAGGCTTCCTTGAGAAAATCCGTAGTAACTGGTCCGGGATTAAATATCGTAACATCGATGCTGCGATGTTCCATTGCCAATGTGTGATAATAGGCATTTAGGGCATGTTTGGCAGCACAATAGCTGGCCGAAAAGGGAACAATTGCCATACCGGCCACACTGGAGGTACACGCAATATGACCTCGATATTCGGTGGCCGTATCCAAAAAGTAACGCACCACTAAACGTGACAGATGCAGCGTGGCAAAGACATCCAATTCGAAGAGGTCACGATCCACTTGTATGGCAATATCTTCCCAATGGGCTCGTTGTGATCGGCCAGCATTATTCACCAGCAGATTTATTTTCTCAAAATGTTCCAAAATTTTATCCAATTGCTGTTTATGTTCCGTGACTTTCAAAATATCCATTGGTAATACCAAGATGTCATGGTCTTTTAACACTGCTTTGCCCACCTGGAGGCATTCTTCTTTAAGGCTTTCCAAACGATCAGCACGACGTGCCGACAACACCAGCTTAACACCATGTTTTGCCAAGACGATGGCCAAAGCGCGACCAATACCACTGGATGCTCCCGTTATCCATATCACTTGACCTTTTAGCTTAGATATTGATGTACCGAAATATAAACTCCACCAGAGACGCACATTACAATCCAATATTAGCCACAGAAGAATATAAATTAAATAATAACAAATAATGGCCAATAGAATAATTTCAGCGAATAACATGTCGTCTGTCGGGTAGGTGCGGTACGTATTGTTGTCCGACTTGTTACTTGGCCAAAATGCAACAAGTATCTGAATTGAAAGTCTGGATCGGTAATGATTGCAAATTTAAAACTTGTTTTAAATTTCTCTTCTTAACCCATTGTGGGGGATTTTTTAAATAATCAAAAAAAATTTAAAAATATATTTTTTTGAAATTCCAACAAGGCGTGGATTTTTTAAAAAATATTTTTTGAAGATCCTACAAGGCGTGGATTTTAAAAAATATCTATTTTTTTAAACAACACAATGGGTTAAAAGTGTAATGCAATAATGTAAAAAAAGTGTATCCACAAAAGAGAATTTCACGCTATGTTGAACTGGGGGATTCAATACTCTTTGGAGACATTGCTTTAGAGCAGCAAATCCATAGACAAGAAAGAGATGGAAAGATAAGATGTGAGTAATTAAAGGCTGGTTGTAAGAAATAACCCAAATAAACACCCATATGCCATACCCCAATACCTATACCTAGATTAATGGTATGTTGTGGTCACCAGGTCACAATTCCTCCACATTCCATTTCAAAAAAAAAAAAAAAACAAATGCTTTTCCATTTCTTCTCCTCCTCATATAAATAATATATTTCCAATATTTTCACAAATCTTCGAAATTTGTTCATTTGATGCATGCTCGGCCGCCAGAATGGCATTACCCACAGCTATTGTTTCTTTCACAGATTTCGCCTTAATCCATATGCGTCCATTTAAACCCACAGCAATTTCAAAGGGTATCTCTTTGGTGAGGGCAGCCAGCAGCGGACAATTTTCTCTTAAAATCATACGGGCCAAATTTAAACTACAATTGAATACAAAACCATCGGACAATACACCCAGCTTGCCTTTTTTACCCGATGAGTTGACACACACCAGCTCGGGTTCGAAGTCTTTACTGGCCACCACCAGACGGGCATATACCAAATCGCCTGTGTTCACATCGGGACGATTTTTCTTTGTGGCCTGTTCAAAGGCCAAATATGGGAGGGCAGCCTGTTCCGAAGAACCAATATCGACACGGAATATATCACCCGCCTTAGAGGTAACAACACCAATTACATATTCTCCCCGTACGGGAACATAACGACGTTGATAACTATCCACCCAAAAGGTATTGGGTTCCTTGTGTTGTAATATACCAACTTTACATGCGACAACATGCTCATCTTGCCGCCTTAAACCGGGTCCGAGGATAACTACAGAAAGAAAATGATGTAGTGAGAGAGGGACAGTTTTTTTGCATGACTTTACCTTTCTTGGATTTGCCCATTTCTTCGGCAGCTGGGATACGATCTCCGGGCATTACAATTTCAGTCATATTTATATATTTTTTATTAATTATTTGCCTCCAAAATAAAAACGAATACGAAAACCTCAACCCACCATGTGTGTCAAAAACAAAACAAACGATGAACGAATTGCCAACTGATATTATTAACAAAAGGCATATTAGTGTTGCCAAAGGCAATAGCGTAGTGAACACAAAGCAGGAGTTGGCGTTTATCTTCTTTACTTCTAAAGAAATATTTGTTTAAGGGTTTTTTGAGCTAACCACAAGCCGTGGATTTTTCAAAAAAATATTTTTTAAGTTTACTACATGCCGTGGGTTTAAAAAAAATTTAAGGTTACCACATGCCGCGGTTTTAAAGAAAAAAATTAAGGTTACCACATGCCGTGGATTTAAAAAAAAATTTAAGGTTACCACAAGTCGTGGATTAAAAAAATATATTTTTTGAGTTTACCACAAGGCGTCGATTTTTTAAAGAACTTTTTTAAGGTTACCACAAGGCGTGAATTTTTTTAAAGAACTTTTTTGAGGTTACCACAAAGCGTGGATTTAAAAAAAAATATTGTTAAGGTTACCACAATGAAATTTCTAAATTCAATCAAAATTACCAATAATTCGATTATCTGTTATTACTTTATATTTTCAGAATATAAATTATTTCCATTAAATATTTCAAATTCATATATAAAAATACAATATTTTTTTGTATACAAAACTATTTCATCTTAAAAAATATAATCTCTCATTTGTTCTTATTTTTTGATTAAATTTGCTGCACTCCGTTTGGTTCAGAGTTTACCATCTCTAATTTTGTGTAGAGTTTTTCCGGACATGGCATAGCGTACCAACAACCTCAATAGGCTATATTGTGACACATAGGCCAATAAGTTAACGGGGAATAGACCACACCAACACATTTCCACTTTATTGGCCAAGGCAGTGGCAAATAGGAATCCCGTACGTTCAGCTGTCAAACGTTTCTGATCCTTGGTGTCTTGACCAACTTTCTCGTTTTGCTGGGAGGTAAAGGCTTCCTTCAGGAAATCTGTTGCTACGGGACCTGGATTGAATAGTGTCACATCCAATGAGGGGTGTTCCAAAGCTAAACAACCAAAATAGGCATTGATGGAATGTTTGGCTGCACAATAACTGGCCGAAAAGGGTACCACCGTTAATCCGGCAACACTGGATGTACAAGCCAAATGACCATGACCACCTGCCTGTTCGACAAAGTAACGCACAACCAAACGTGACAAATGCAACACCGAAAAAACATCCAATTCGTACAGCTCACGATCCACTTCAATTTCGATATCCTCCCAATTGGCACGCTGTGAACGTCCGGCATTGTTTACCAGGATATTCAATTTTCCAAAATGATTGAGGACATCGTTAAGGCACTTTTTGTGATTTTCCAATTTTAACATGTCCATGGGCAACACCAAAACATCTTTGTCGGCCAACAGACCTTTGGCCTCGATCAGGCATTCTTCTTTCACTTTCTCTAGCAATTCAGTGCGGCGAGCTGATAACGCCAATCGTACACCGTGGCGAGCTAAATTGATAGCCAATGCTTTGCCAATACCACTGGAGGCGCCGGTTATCCACACAACCTGGCCACGCAGTGTCGAAATGGAAACACCAAAATGAATTTTCCACCACAGGCGAACATTACAGTCGAGCAGAATCCATAGGAAAACGTAAATTACGTAGTAAAGTATAACCGATAAACCGAACAGTTCAAGAAGACTCATATTGATTGATTGTTTGCGGTTTTCTTGCGATTATCGCCGTTCGTTCGCTCTGCTCAAGTTCGTTGTTACTATTGCCGGCCAATGAATGCTGCTGTTACACTACTGGTTGAATGCTTGCTTGTTCTTGGCCACCCATCAGCACTGTTTTCTTTTCTTGTTGTTTAAAATCTTATCTATTGTTGTTGCGTTAAATATTTGTATATGTACACAGACATATGTATGCAAATTAAAAGTAATGCAAAACAAAAACATGCATATTATATGATTTATCAGATTATTATTGTTATTGTGTCTCCCCTTCGTCTCTCACTCTCTTATCAGAAAAGTAAATATTGACAATTAGCAAACAAATCAGTGCATGCTGCGTTGCCAACTATCATGGAGGAAAAATCGCTAGAACCGTCAGAGCAAAAAGCGCTTAAAATAATAAAATCACAACACACACACACACAAATTAACTGAAATTAGTGAACAAAATTTATAAAACTATGTTTACATTAAAAAAAATCGAATCTTTTATGATAAATGACTTTAAACGGCATTTACATTATAACTATTTAACGGGTTAACCTACTTTATGAGGATTTAGTTGGTATATATTCAAAGGAATTGACAATTTAAATCCACTGTATTAACGAAATCCAGTAAAATGTAAACATACTATTAGCATAACAATCGATTCTTATTAAAAATTGCCAAAAGTTATTGAATGAATTTTTGCGAACATGGTATCAATCAGAAGGACGACGTTATGGTAAGAATGGAAGGTCAAAAGTGGAAGGACGATTTGGCAAGGTCATAATAAGGACTTTTTAGGGGTTGGAATGAAACCAATGGCAATGGTGGAGATAATTAATTTTAAGTGGGCCTGATATTGCAATGACCAGTAATGACTCCTGTTATTACTCTAATTTCAGATTTGCTCAGGTTCAACAGTGTGTTTGACAGAGTCGGCCAGATGGATCTTGACACATTGAACCTAGGTTCGTTGTGCCAGAGTCCATTGGCTCATTCGTCGAAAAGGTGACATATGGGTGGTTTGATTGAGCAATCGATTGCTATTTCTGTAGATTGAGATCCTCGTCTAGCTATTCGTCTGCTTTTTCGTTACCCATGATGTCACGGTGTTCTGGTACCCAACACAACCGAAAGCTATAAGTGAGTGTTTCCAAAACTGCTCTACACTCGAGGTCGTCCTAAGATTTGATGTTACAGGATTTGATGATTATTGATTTTTATCAGTTCCGCTGCCTTCTAAATAGCGAAGATTTCAACTTGGAATACCTACAAGTTGCTATCCATCTTGTAGGTAAGCTCAAGGTCTAACCCTTGACAGTAGACGACTGCCCCCGTATCTTTTTCCATCTTGGATCCGTCTGCATAAAAAGCCAGACCGTCCATTGCTTAGTTTGTCATACCTAGTTCGTTCAGGATACATCCATGTCCGTAGGTACAATTTCGTTCAGGATACATCCATGCCCGTAGATAAAATTTCGCCATAGATTTTGTTCATGCGGTTTTAGGGCACAGTTTTGGATGCCTGAAACTTAATGCTGAGACACAGAGGCCTCAAGTTCGTCATTGCGTTCAGAACTGCAAGGAGCCGCGAGAAGCGGCTCCAGTTATTAGAATCGAGTCGACTCCTTGTACCTTGTCTAGTTTTCTGGATGTCGACTAGTGGCATAAGCAGTGCCACCAAACAAGAGAACCATAGGAAATAATGGACCTTACCCCTGTGTTATACAACCAGCGTATAGTCGGTGGTTTAAGCCCTCAGCTTTTCGCGATGGAGTTCTTGCATGCATAGATGCATGGTATAGGAACGCCCGTTCCTCGTCATTCCTATTCCATCGATTACTTCCCAGAGTATGTTAGCGGACAGGATTCCTTATGCCAGCGGAGAAGGACGTCTGTAAGATTATTCACGGCTCCATTAAGCTCAGCAGTTTCTAAGTTTGTAGCAAGAGTCAGCTGGGAACTCGTTAGACTCGTGTATTTCTTGCAGTTTGTTCTTATCGGGTTTCCATAAGGCATATGGATAGTCCTCCCCAGATGGGTCAACAGCTACTCTGGCAACCATCCCTCCTTCCTCGTTAAAAGGAGTTAAACTGACAACAGTCCAACTCGAGGTAGTGAGGTTGGGATTCTACAGCGCCAACATTTTCAGCAAGAGCTCCTTGTCCACGGAAGAAACCCAGGCCGAGAGGATCGGTCTAGTTGGGATCCCAGATAAGAAGACTTCTGCAAGGTTGGAACTTTCCAGAGTGCGCCAAAGCCGTCAACAGTTCTTACGAGGAAATCTCTCGATTTTCTGTTCAAGCAGTTTATTACTATCGCAATATTGAATACAGAGCTATGAAAATTTCCACATAGTACATTACTATTACTCCAAGGATGTTTGGTATTAAAAATGGTATTTAAAACGGCCCACTTTTTTCCAAAGATATATATTTTTTAGCGATTTTTGTATATGATTGGAATTTGTTATATCAATTGACAATATAGATGTGAATTTTAAGCGCTTCGATTTAATTTTTAAATAATTTTTAGCCGATAAAAAACAAATGGAATTTATTATTTTTATTTATAGGCTTTAAATTTCTATCGTTCGTTTTTTTATTTAATAATTATTAAACTTGCAAAAATAAGTAATTAACCAACATAAAACACCACACACGATGACCACAAAGAATTGGCAATTCAATTAAATTGGCAATTGATGTATGAGTAATCGATAACCAGCAAATCGCCCCCATCAGTTTGACAACCATATACTTTCTCCCGCATGCTCTCTATCTCTCTGGTATTGGCTCTCATGTTTTTTTTTGTTTTCACAACTCTCTATGGAATTTCTCCATCATATTTTTGCCGGTTGAGTTTTGTTCCCTCTTGTCACCTTGTGACAAGGTCATTAACAAAAACAAACCCCCTTCAGAGAAACAGTGGATGCCAACAACAAAAACAACAGGAAGACAATTCCAATGGAAGCAGATGTTAGAAAACAAATAATATGTGTGTATGTATGTATATTAAAGGCACAGCAAAAAGTGCTCCACTAAACAAATGGATGGAGAGTGCACGTACTTTTTATGTACATACATACACACACATATATTTACTGATGATGGTAGGGAAAGACAACACAAATTGTGAATAGACAGGCTTAGTAGCTAGCTGGCTGTAATAAGGCAGGAGTATTTTAGCTATAATCAAAATATAAAAACTGTTTAAGGGGGTTGCGTTTGACATTTGTGAGAGCCGAAGGAGGGGGGTCCAACGATGATGATGAATTTTATGAGAACGAAAGTCAACGCAGCGCCAATGGCGACGCTGTCGCTGCTGCAAAATCTATTTTGTACGAGTGCACGTAAATTCTCAATATCAGTCGCTAAAGAGTCGTTGTTGGGTAAACGACAGCTACAGTTGGGATTTATTGTTAATTCAGTGCAGCAAACAAAAAGATACAAGTAAGTTAAAGAAAAAAAGAAATATTTTTTTTATAAAAAATCATAATTTTTTAAAACAAAAAAGTGCATAAAAGTGAAATGTGAAACAAATGTTATTATGAAAACAAAAATCATGTTTTGTTGTGTGCGGTGAAAAGGAAGGAAATTGTGCCAATGGTGGTTTATTTTTTTCCTGGGATTAGATAACCGTGTAAGGAACAGAAAAATCCCTACTTTTTTTAGAATAGAATTTAATTAAAAAAGTATGAATTCAGAGGGGTGCAGTGAAGAAGAGCTGAAGGGAAAGTTTTTGAAATGGAATGTGTGTTAAAAAGTTCCAATTTACTAGACCGCTTATCCATATGACCTTTAACTAAACGTTAGAGGTCATTCATTTGATACAACACTAATAGCGGCGGCTCCCAATCACACATACTTGTGTACTTTCACACATGTATATATGCTTTTTTTTGCAAAAGCAAACACAAACACACACCACCGTTCCCCTGCTTAGTAATTGGGAATAATTTAAAATTTTACTTTAATGTTTTAATTGATCATTTTTGTCGCAGCTTTTTGTATTCTAGAAACATACTCCAAATGGGATTCCGATAAGAATTTTCTTTAAATTCAATGGGAAATTATATTCCTTCTTCCCCACTCTCTCTCTTTCTCATTCTCATTCTCTCCCATGTTGATGTGTGGGGGATCATTTAATTTCGTGTTTTTTTTGTTCTGTAATTCTTGTCGCGTTGCATTCCGGCACTAAGAAGAAGAAGAAGAAATTGCATCACAATTGAAAGCAAATGTTGGCAAAAGTAACAATGTTGGAGTGTTGCCAGATTTGGTGTTGGGGTTATTGTTTTGGGATTCTTGTTGTTCTTTGTTTTTTTACACATGTTTTTTTTTTCTTCAGATAAATGTGCTTAGATTTGTTTGTTTTGTCTTGAGCTAGGTTATTAAGGGCGGATACATACTTACAAACAGATACAGGAAGGTATATATGCATGAACATTTATATTGTGTGGGGAGAGGGAGGGGAACATTTTGGGAAAAATTATTTTTAAAATTTTTTTTTTTGATTATAAAGGAAAGTTTGTTATCGTAATTTAGATTCCATATTACAAAGGAAATATTTTTATTGTTAGTAGATTTTTGCAGTATGGGAACATAACAAATGTAGTAATCGTTGATAGTTCAGGCATATAAATCCTTTGTATCCGGATTTTGGAATTTATACCTGCCGAAGTATGGTTTTTAAAGTAACGAAAATTCCCCAGATTTTTTTGGTTGAAAAAATGTTTTTTGCGGTGGCTTTTCATGCTACCCATATGTTCAGAATTTCAGATTATTTTCTGAGGTGGCAAAAAAAAGTCTCAGTTGTAAAAATTTAGGCATTTTAGTAAAAAATTAAGTAATTTTCGTAACATATTTTTATAATCACGAACTGGATGACCTAATTATAACACTTTATGGTAATTTGTTGGAGGAACATGTATACTTGTCTACTTGGTACCAATTCAAAATTTCGCAGATTATCCTGAGAGGTAGCCATAAAAGGCAAAATTATTAATAGTAAACAAGGAGGTATTTTTGTAAAAAAAATTAAGGAATTTTCGAGTCTTATGCCTTTTTAGGGCGAAGGATCATTCATGTAGATGTTTATTTATTAATTTCTCTTTCGAGATGAGCTACATGATCGGAATTGCAATGAAAAGGAAAGCCAGAGAGATACTACATTCCCACCATTATGCGACGCATTTCGCCGTTGGTTAAGCGGCTCATCAGACATATTGGACAATGTGGTTTACAAATGTCTTTACTTGATAAGTTGTATTTATGTCGACTATTGTTGAGAAATTGCATCTACGAATTAAATTCAAACCTGTCAAGTTTCGGACATTTAGCATCACATCAGAACAATCCTTTTCAGAGCAGATTTTTCTTGTAGTGACGGACTTTTTCCATACAGACTACAATATTTTTCTTCAATGGTATACAACTGCATATTGTGCAACCTTAGGAAGAAAGGGAGATGGCTTTTCGTTACATATGTTTGTAATCACGAACACGATGACCTGTTAATAGCACTTTATGGCCTCCTCTCAGAAAAAAAATCTTAAAAAAAACCTGCCAAGTTATGGGACTTCAAAATTTGGGCAAAAATCTGCACATGTAGATTTTCGTAATATTGGAGCCTTCCATAAAAATTTGCATTTTTTTCCATAGTACAGGAAATAAATAGATCCTTGGATTATCGGAAGAAATCTGAAGAAAAAAAAACAAATTTATGGAATGGGGGTAAAATTCCTTGATGAATTCTGGATACAGGTCTTTAACTTGACCATTTGGTTTTTGTCGCTGTTGGGGTTCTTGAAATCCAAATCATCGTAGACGCCATCCTTGAAGAATTCAGAGGCAGCAACGTCTATATCTTGTTGGCAAGGTAATGACATCGTAGATGAGATTCAAGGCTTCCTTGAAGGATTAAATGTTCGGGACGAAATAACCCTAATCATCATCGACAGCGGTTGCTGGTGTACGAGAGCAGTTCGAAAAGTTCTTAGCCTGGCATAAACTGAAAAATGTTAAGTGTTTTGGAATCGTCCATCTCTGTTATGAACACATGTTAAATTTTGTATCGATCTGGCAACACCTTCATATATAAACATAAAAAAAACGCATCCACAATTTTTTACAATGGAAATATTAGAAACGCGTGCTTTCATTATAAAAAAAATACGGATGCGTCTTTTAAGGGAACTCCTTGATACAACATTGGAAGAGGCCAATGTCATTGGGTCTTGTAACTGTTCTTGAAGTCCGAATCGTAAATGCCATTGTTGAAAAATGTATGAGGGAGCAACATCCCAACAGCCCGAAAGCAAAGGCATCCTTGCAGAGGCTCAAGGCTTCCTTGTTGAATTAAATGTTCGAGGTGCGAAATCACCCTCCGGCATTCGACAGCGGTGTCATTCAACCCCAATTTATCCTTGATGACCTTCTTACAGTGATAGTAGAATTGCTCATCGAATGGATCAAATCGTAGGCATCATTCTTGAAAAATTCATAGGCAGTAACGTCCATACCGATTTTAACCTTGCCGGTGTAATCGCCACAAGGCAATGACATCGTTGATGAGGTTTATGGCTTGCTTTTTGGATTGAATGTTGAAGGCGAAATCACCCTCCGTCACCCGACAGCGATGACATTCAAACCGAACTTATTTTGTAATAGCTTATTTAGACCAAACCTTTATTTATGTTTATAAAGGTCAAAACAAAAATAAATGACATATTTTTCAAAACCAAGAGCCGATTTTTATACAATTAGCTCCAGTTGGCTAGATAATAAATTCTTACATGGCCAATTTGTGGCCAACATGAAAGCTACTGCCGTTGATGACATTGAAGTCAGGAACAGTCAAAATGATGCCATTGTTTCCGGCCAATCTTGATAAAAATTTTACGATGTGTAAAGTTAGGATGTAATTGGATATTCCGTACTCTTTATAAGAGATTAAAAAAAATCAAAATGAGAACCTTTGTTGGCTACGTAGGAACAGATATACCTACTGACATAAAATTTTCAATTCCCATGGTATTTGGAATATGTCCATCTGAATGACAAATCCACATTCCAACAACGCCATCTATCGGCCAAGAAAAAAATGTTTTCATAAACTTTTGACATTACAAAGGACAAATTATGATGTGTATACAAGATGAGAGGCAGGCCAAAAGGCTTTTTCACCTACTTACCCAGTCACCCACAATAATGAAAACACGAGAAAGAAAAGTAGAGCAGAAAACCCGGCTATGCGCAGTTAAAAAAAAAAACAAGCCTAAAATACACACAACACCCCCACTCAATACATACATATACACATACACACACACAAGAGGAAAACAAAAGCCTTTGGACTCGATTTCCATTGACTTCATTCATAATTTTCACAGCAGACGTAATAGGTTGGTTGAGTTTATATAATCGTATAACAAGGTTTCTTTTTGGTGGACAAGCCCCCCAATAAAAAAAAAAACACGAAAAAGGTTTACTATTTTTCCTATATTTTAATAATAGACCAAAAGTCCACTTGCTTATCTCCAACAATAAAACATTTTCGATAGTAACGAAATACAGAACTAATTTCATTTTCAATTTGTTTTTGTTTTTTTTCCAGATACACCATGCCAATCAAGACCATTCATGCCCGTCAAATTTTCGATTCTCGCGGTAACCCAACCGTCGAAGTCGATTTGACCACCGAATTGGGTCTTTTCCGCGCCGCCGTGCCTTCCGGTGCCTCCACTGGTGTCCACGAAGCCTTGGAATTGCGTGACAATGACAAGAAGAACTATCACGGCAAGAGTGTGTTGCAAGCCGTTGGCCATGTCAATAACACCTTGGGTCCCGAACTCATCAAGGCCAATTTGGAAGTCACCGACCAAGAGGCCATCGATAACTTCATGTTGAAATTGGACGGTACTGAGAACAAGTCCAAGTTCGGTGCCAACGCTATTTTGGGTATCTCTTTGGCTGTCTGCAAGGCTGGTGCCGCCAAGAAGGGTGTCCCCCTCTACAAGCACATTGCCGATTTGGCCGGCAACAAGGACATCATCTTGCCCGTGCCCGCCTTCAATGTCATCAACGGCGGTAGCCATGCTGGCAACAAATTGGCCATGCAAGAATTCATGATCTTGCCAACTGGCGCTGCCAGCTTCACTGATGCCATGAAAATCGGCTCCGAAGTCTACCACCACTTGAAGAAGGTCATCAAGGACAAGTTCGGTTTGGATGCCACCGCTGTCGGTGATGAGGGTGGTTTCGCTCCCAACATTCAATCCAACAAGGAAGCCTTGAACCTCATCAACGATGCCATTGCCTTGGGCGGTTACACCGGCAAGGTTGAAATCGGCATGGACGTTGCTGCCTCCGAGTTCTTCAAGGATGGCGTCTACGATTTGGACTTCAAGAACCCCAACAGCGACAAGGCCCAATGGTTGGCCCCCGCCAAGTTGACCGACTTGTACCAAGAATTCATCAAGGAGTTCCCCATTGTCTCCATTGAGGATCCCTTCGATCAGGATCACTGGGATGCCTGGAGCAACATCACCGCCAACACCAGCATTCAAATCGTCGGTGATGACTTGACCGTGACCAACCCCAAGCGTATCCAAACTGCCGTCGAAAAGAAGGCCTGCAACTGCTTGTTGTTGAAGGTCAACCAGATCGGTACCGTCACCGAATCCATCAAGGCCCATTTGTTGGCCAAGCAAAACGGCTGGGGCACCATGGTCTCTCATCGTTCCGGTGAAACCGAGGATTCCTTCATTGCTGATTTGGTTGTTGGTTTGTCCACTGGTCAAATTAAGACTGGTGCTCCTTGCCGCTCGGAACGTTTGGCCAAGTACAATCAAATTCTCCGCATCGAAGAGGAATTGGGAGCTGCTGCCAAATTCGCTGGCAAATCTTTCAGAAAACCCCAATAAATTTGTGAGGAGTAGTTAGTACAACAACAACACATTTCATTGTAACTCACTCACGCAACAATTCCAACAACAACAAGAAGAACACATTTGCGCAACATTACATACATATATAGAGGACCTTAGTTGATCTTGGGTTTGAATATTTTGTTTTTTTTCTTTTGTTGGGTGCAAAAAAATGATGCGAACGATCAACACCCTCACCACTCAGCACAATGATATTAAATGGAAGTGGCTAGGCATCACACCCACCCAACCACTCACATATAATTTTAATTTTTTCAAAATTATATTTATTATTGTAATTATTGTAACACTCGTATATATAACTCGTATAACACTACCAAGTAACAAAAAAAGTTGATTCTATGTAGTTCGTTGTTGTCAAAAAATACAGAGTTTATTAAAAATTTGGAAAACTACATAACAAAAACAAAGAAGACATAAAATTTGTTAATTTTTAATTAGTAGTATATAAGTAAATTGTGTAATCACATCAAGGTGATTATATTTAATAAAACCATCTAAAAAAACTTAGAACAAAACGTGGATTTTTTAAAAAATATTTATATCACAGGGCGTGAATTTAAAAAAAAAAAAAAACTTGGGTCATAACAAAAGGCGTTGGGATGGTTGATACCAAGCAACGCCTCTGATTGGCTTTAACATGGCGGGTCTTGGTCACTCTTTTATCTCAATTGTGGACACTGACCTCCCCGTGGTGTCACCTGGGGTAGCTATTTTCATCACCCGTTGAAATAGTGAGCTAATATGTGCCGCGAGTTCACCCATAAAATCTATAAAAAAAAATGGGTAGAGGCGTCGGGTTAGTTGCCCATACTCGGAAAACCCCTCTTACTATGAAAAAGCAACGAAAAATAAAACCAAACCCCCCAATGTTGACGACCCCCGCAAACGTATAAAGAACCACGATCGGCGAATCTGTACTTGGAATGTGCGCACGTTGTACAGAACAGGCGCAGTTTTCGCCTTGGCGGATATACTCGAGAAGTACAAAGCCAATATTATTGCCTTACAGGAAATGCGATGGAAAGGGACTGGCGTAAGTAAATAAAATGATTACGCCCTGTATTATAGCTGCCATGAAATGAGACATGAATTTGGCTGCGGATTTATGGTTAACAGGAGAATAAAAGACCTCGTCTCCAGATTCACTCCTCCAGTAGATGAGCGAATTGCTATAATCCGTATAAAAGCGAAGTTCTCTACATCCGTCTTATTTGCGGCGATGCTCCGACGGAAGACAAATATGAACAGACCAAAGACATTTTTTACGAGCGCCTAGAAACTGCATATGATCGCTGACCTGGCCATGATATTAAAATTCTGCTAAGAGATTTTAAGGCCAAAATTGGAAGGGGAAATATTTTTTGGTCCCACTGTCGGAAAATTTAGCCTCCACGAAGAAGCACCCGACAACGGAACGTGGTTGATTAACTTCGCGACAGCAAAAAACATGGTATTTAGCAACACCAAATTCAAGCAACTCGATATACACAAGGCCACATGGATTTCTCCTGATCAAGCAACGAGAAATCAAATTGATCATGTTGTGATAGACGGAAGGCATTCAGCCAGTGTTTTAGACGTCCGATCGATCCGGGGAGCGAATATCGATTCGGACCATTACCTTGTGGCAGCCAAGGTACGCACCCGTCTTAAAGTAGCAGCAAAGGTGCGATCTAATGTAACACGGAAATTCGACGTCGAAAAGCTGCAAACACAACAGATAGCCGAGGTCTACTTCGCTCAACTTACCCAACTGCTTGACGAAACCACTTCTTGTCCCGATAATAATTTAGAAGCACAGTGGCAGAGAATTACCCACTCCCTAGAAACTGCAGCAAAAGCAACACTTGGGTACCAAAGACCACCATCAAGAAATCGGTGGTACGATCAGGAGTGTCGTAATGCTACTGATGTGAAAAACGCAGCGTATAGAGCAACCCTGCAGACAGTATCAATACGTTATGCGATGGAGAACTATCGGGAGAAAAGGAGAGATGAGAAACGTATTTTCAGAAAAAAGAACAAGAAAAACGTGAGCGTGAGCAAATCAATATGTACAGCAGTCAGAATGAAGTCTGGAAATTGTACCAACGAGTAAAGCACCAAACCGATGGTTTTGGTGCAGGCACATCCTCCTGTAGAGATGTAGAAGGAAACCTGGCGACAGATGCAGGCAGCGTGCTGAGGATCTGAGAGGAGCATTTTGAAAAAAATCTGGTATCAAATAGTAGCGGTGAAGAGGATACCCCAGAACCAATAATAGATGACGGTATAGAGTGTATACCACCTAGCCAAGACGAGGTCAGAATAGCAATCAATCGGCTGAAGAATAATAAAGCAGCAGGTGCCGATGGTTTACAAGCCGAACAAGCTGATTAGTACAATTTGGCATCCTGTGTCCCGTGCACAAAAAAGGAGACAAGACGATATGTGCCAACTACAGAGGAATAAGTCTCCTTCCCATCGCATATAAAGTGCTATCCAGCGTACTGTGTGAACGACTGAAGCCAATGGTCAATGACATTATTGGACCATACCAATGCGGCTTCAGACCTGGCAAGTCCACCATTGACCAGATTTTTACTCTGCCCCAAATCCTGGAAAAACCCACGTCGACTATAAAGCTGCATTCGACAGCCCGTTCAGAGGTGTATAAAGCCATGTCTGTGTTTGGCATTCCTGCAAAATTAATATGGATATGCAGGATAACTTTAACTGGCACAAGGTCAACAGTTAAAGTCGGAAAGGACCTATCGGAACCCTCCAATAACGAACGAGGATTCAGAAGAGGTGACCTTTTGTCGTGTGATCTTTTTAACATCCTCCTGGAAAAGGTCATACGAGAGGCAAAAGTGAACAGAAATAGTTAAAGATTTTATATACCTTGGTACCGCCATAAACAAAACGAAAGACATCAGGCCACCTCCCGCCAGACCAAACTCACACTCTACAAGACGCTGATACTATCCGTGCTGTTATATGGATCTGATGCATGGGTACGAGCGCAAGCAGATGAAGCAGCTCTTGGAGTGTTTGAGAGAAAAATTCTCCGAAAGATCTATGGGACGATCTGCGTTGACGGTGAATATTGCCGTCGGATGAACCATGAGTTGTACCAGCTATTCTCGGACATTGACATTGTTAGACGTATTGAGCTGCACCGACTACGTTGGCTAGGTCATGTTGTGAGAATGGATGAAGATGCCCCAGCCCAGAAGGCATATAAAAGCGAACCAGCTGATGGTTCACGCAGAAGGGGAAGTCCAAGAATACGATGAAAAGATAAAGTCGAAGGCAACATTGCGGAATATGGTCTCTCAAATTGGAAAAACTGTGCAAAAGACCGACGCGCCTGGAAATCTTTTTTAAGTTCGGCTTATGGAACGAAAGTTCTGTCACAAGCCAGCTAAGTAAGTAACACAAATATTTTTGGGTAGTCTTACAAGGCGTGGATTTAAAAAAATATATATTTTTTGAAGTAATAATAATTTATATCTGTCGAAATTCCCGATCTCATTTGAAATAAATATTTAGCTTATTCGACATCATCAGTTGGAGGAAATATTACACAAATGGTCATAGTAGATGTTAGTGATGTGTACAAACGGAAATTATCCGATTGTCGAAGAAGATAACTGACACTAATTATCTAGAATTTGTATACGCATTTTTAAAAAGCAATTTGGAATTTTAGATTATTGCCGACAACTGCAATGGATAGGGAAAGTGAAATTCATTTTAGTACAATCAAAGTTTTCAAAGGCATCTGTTCTAGAAGAGAATCGGAAAAAGTCGGCACAAGCAAACAAAAAATTCAAAATGTTTTTCGAATTATTACAAGGTTTATTTGATATGATTATGAGTCTATTTGGTGGTAAGTTATTGTAAAAAATATTGGATCAGTAGAAAATTAAAAAAATATATATATTTTTTATTTTTATTTTGCCAGGTGGTGGCGATGGCGGTGATGATTCCGAAGAGTCATAATACACATCGAAATTTCCCGATCTTAATACACATGACTGATTTCAATGGCAATCCACGTTCGCATTAGATTTCAGCTAATATTTGACAATATGGAACAAATCATTGAAATGTTATTTAATTTGTTACAAATATTTTCAAGAATTTTTATGGGTATTGCTGCTGGAGGAGGACCACCAAGTAAGTTGTAAAATAAATACATATGAATATCCTATACCACTTTGTGAGGAATGAAATTTTAAGGCGGAATTTTTTAAAAAAAATTTGGAGATTTATAAAGTATTGGATTTTTGAAAGAATAATTTTGAGGTTATTAAGGTCTATAAGAAGCGTCGATTTTTTAAAGAATATTTTTCGAGGTCTTGGATGTTTTAAAGAATATTTTTCTAGCTCTTCTAAGGGCGTGGATTTTTTTAAAGAATATTTTATGGAGGTCTATAAAAGGTGTGAATTTTTTAAAAGAATATTTTTTGGATGTCTATAAAAAGCGTGGATTTTTTAAGAGAATATTTTTTGGAGGTCTGTAGGAGGCGTGAATTTTATAAAGAATATTTTTTGAAGGTCTATAAAAGGCGTGAATTTTTTTAAAATAATATTTTTTGGAGGTCTATAGGAGGCGTGAATTTTATAAAGAATATTTTTGGAGGTATATAAACTTACCCACTGCTGCATTTCTCAATTCAATAATATGAATTGAAAATAAATTTCAGACGTTTCCACCAATACTCAGGAATTCCAGTTGATATGGACTCCACTTAATGCAGGGACCGAAGCACCAATTTCCATTTTTCGTTCAATTTTTAATTATTAATTTGTTAAAAAATAAAAACTAAAACAATTTCACTTTGTGGTATAATTAATTTTTTTCGATTTTTTTCATTGATTCTTCAAAAAATATAAACAATTCTATAAAAAAAAATATTTCCAAGAATACAGCAGCACCATTGTTTTTTTCACTCACTTCCAATGCCGAGTGAGAGAGACACATTTGTAATTACTTTGCGCTAACATAGGAAACGGGAAATAAAAACAAACTTGCAAACTTGTGCATGCAACAGAAGAAGACAAATAGATTTCATGCTTATTCACATACACACACAAATGACTGGCGAAAAATCTCATTGAAATGCATTTCACACAACAATTGTAATTGGAAAGAAACACATTTTTTTAATTTGACAAACACTTCTATTAAAACTTCAATTTAATTAATATCTATGGGCACACTTGGACGTTAATTGGTATTTTATTCATTTAACAGATTATTTGATTTCACATAAAATGATTTTTACACCAACCGTTTGCGAAATTTCCGTCCGTCCATTTTAAAACGCGTTCGATAATTAAACTCCAATTGTCTTTTTGTTCTCTATGATCTTTACCCCCCATCAAAACCAAGAGAATCTCTTGGAGAGATGCATACGGTGACATTTTGAAAAGGAGCTCCAATTGAAGAGAACCTGTCAAATGGTTGCCATTTTCAATGTGATGACAACCGCCATATTTTCTTCCACTCTCTCACTCTAATTGAAACACAAAGATTCCTCTTTCCCTGGCAATTGAATAGGATTTTGCGTATAACCAATAAGAAATGGAAGTAATGTGGAAGGCAAAGGTACTTCTTCTTAAGAGATTCACGCATTCGCACATTTCCTTATGAGAAAAAGGGTACATTTGCCTCCCAAATTATTCCTCCTTTTTTCTTATTGTTTATATCGTAAAATCCTATTCAAATGTTAGGGAAATTAAAGAAAGTTCCCTTTAATTCTTCGTTTTCAATTAGTATGAGAGAGACAAAGAAAATATGGCGGTTGTCATCACATTGAAAACGGCAACCATTTGACATGCTCTCTTAAAATGGAGTTCCTTTTCAAAATGTCGGCATTTGCATCTCTCAAAGGGATACTCTTTGTTTTGATAGCGAGAACGATCATAGAGAACAAAAAGACAATTGGTGATTAGTTATCGAACGCGTTTTAAAATGGACGGACGGAAATTTCGCGAACGGATGGTGAAATAATAAATTTATGAGACATCAAATAATCTATTAATTGAATAAAATATCGATTAAGGTGCGTGTGTGTCTATACATTATAATTAAATTGAAGTTTTAATAGATGTGTTTGTCAAATTAAAAAAAAATATATAAATAAAATACAAAAATGTTCTTCCTTCCAATTAGAATTGCTGTGTTTGCATTGATATGCATTTCAATGAGTTTTTTTTGCCAAAGTCATTTGTGTGTGTGAATATGCTTGTAGGTTGTTTGTCTTTTTCTGTTGCATGCACAAGTTTGCATGTTTGTTTTGGATTCCCGTTTCCTACGTTAGAGCAAAATAATGTGTTTTTCTCTCACTCTTTATTGAAAGTGAATAAAAAACAATGGTGGATATATTGCTCGTAAGGAATTTCGTTATATATATTTTTTTGAATCAAAGAAAAAACATCTTAAATTATCAATGAAATTGATTTAGTTTTTATTTTGGAACAAATTAATAATTAAAAATTGTGCGAAGAATGGAAATTGATATAACTGCCTCATATTTTGAAGTGACTTTGGTAAGTTTTGTTACAAAAAATACAATTGTGCATTTGCAAGATTTGATTTGGTTTGAAAATTAGATTTTATTTGAAGTTCTAAAAGAAGAGGGGAAATCATAAAATATTGTTTTGATATTTTAACCCATTTTTTTTAATTAAAGTGGAAACGTAAAAGCTTCAATAATTTTTTTGAGGCCAATATCATGGAAAGTTTGCAACTAATAAAAGAGATATGACTGGGTCTTTGGAAAAGTACTAAATGTGATACCATTTGTACTAAATGTGGTACCACTTGTACTAAATACGGTACCATTTGTACTAAATGTGATACCATTTGTACGAAATGTGTACGAAATGTGGTACCATTTGTATTTGGCGAACCGGTGCAGCTAGAACTCTTAAATTGAGGGTCATTGATGGAGCGTAGAAAAGATGTAGCAAAGGGTTTTGTTGGACATTCGAACTATAAGTATCCGAAAAGTACTAAAATGTACTAAATTTGGTACAATTTCGTAGCATGTGAATGGATAGAGCTAAAAAACTTGGAATGCGAATCAAGGTTGAGATGTAGGGTCAATATAACCATGTAGTTTCGAAAGCGTGTACTCATGTATATGAAAAGTACTAAACTGTACTAAATTTGGTATGATTTGAATTTATAGAAAAGAAATAAGAAAATCGTGAAATTTGAAGTTAATATTACTGTCGGAGTGTAGGATAGCGATATGTAGGTAGTTTTTGAAATATGTACTTATGTGTACGAAAAGAACCAAATGGTACTATATTTTGTACACATTGGATGAACCGATAGAGCTGGAATTCTGAAATCTGAAGTTAGTGTTGCTGTTAAGGTGTTGGATTGGAATATGTAGGAAGTTTTGGAAATTTGTACTAATGTGTACTAAATAGTACCAAATGTGTATTTGAGTGAACCGATAGAGCTAGAACACTGACATTTGGAAATAAGGTTGTTATTGGAGTTTCGGATTGATGTATGGATGTAGTTTGGGCATTTATATTTAAGGGTACTAAATCGTACTAACGTTGGTACATTTTGAATTTTAAGTGAACCGATAGTGCTGAGATCCTGAAATTTTGAGATGAAATCATTGTTGGATTTTAGGATTGGGATATGTAGTAAGTTTTGGAAATATGTACTAATGTGTACCAAATAGTACCAAATGTGTATTTGGGTGAACCAATAGAGCTAAATCACTGAAATTTGGAAAAAAAGGTTACTGTTGTAGTGTAGAATTGGTGTATGCATGTAGTTTTGGAATCCCGTACTTGTAGGTACTAAATGATACGAAATTTGGTACAATTTAAATTTTGAGTGAACCGTTAGTGCTGAGATTCTGAAATTTTGAGTTAGGATTATTGCTGGGGTGTAAGAATGGGATATGTAGTAAGTTAAAGAAGTTTGCACTAATGTGTACTAAATAGTACTAAATGTGAATTTGAGTGAACCGATAGAGCTAGAACACTGAAATTTGGAAATAAGATTACTGTTGGAATGTAGGATTGGTGTATGTATGTAGTTTTAGAAATTCCGTACTTATGGGTACTAAATAGTACTAACTTTGGTACAGTTTGAATTTTGGGTGAACCTATAATGCTGAGATCTTGAAATTTTGAGTTTGAGTCATTGTTGGGGTGTAGGATTGGGATATGTAGGAAGTTTTGGAAATTTGTATGAATGTAGTTTTGGAAATTCATAATAACTTTGGTACAATTTAAATTTTGTGTGAATGCTGAGATCTTGAAATTTTGAGTTAGGATCATGGTTAGGATGTTTAGGAGTAGAATTGGAATGTTTAGGAAGTTTCGGAAATTTGTACTAATGTGTACTAAATCGTACCAAAAGTGTATTTGGGTGAACCAATTGAGGCTGGAACACTGTAATTTGCAAAGCAGCTTACTGTTGTAGTGTACGATTGGTGTATTAGAACCGATTGGAGTACAAAATTGCACTAGCTTTGGTACAATTAAAATTTTGGATGAACCTATAGTGCTGGGATCCTGAAATCTTGAGTTAGGATCATTGTTGGGGTGTAGGATTGGGCTATGTAAGAATGTTTTTGAATTTAGGATCGCAATTAGAGGTGTAGGATTGGTATTGAGCTATGTAAAAATTTCGGAAAATAAAAATAGAATGTTCTTAATGGTATATTATTGAGGGATGGATCGGACTGAAATCATGAAATTACGAAATATGGTTTCTATTGGGCAAATTTTTAAGAGGCGAACCCTCGGCTTCAGCTTTGTTAAAAAATTACAATATTATTGTCTATATATTTTTTTACAAATTCCTAAGCATGTTTGTATTTTTGAAAAAAAAATTTTCAACCGAGGAGTTTTTTTTAATATTTTTACAAATTCTAACACGCGTAGATTATTAAAAAAAATTTACTTCCTAACCAATAGAGGATTTTATTTAAATACCTTCTAAACAAGATTGAATTTTTATATATTTTTCATAATCAAGTGAGGAAACACTTCGCATTTTGTGATTTTTTTAATTATTTTTTAGTAAAAAAATGTTTTTTACTTCCTTATAAGTGGCATAGGATTTTTTTTTTGAAAATGGTCATAAATTGTATATTTTTTTAATATTGCAGCATCTGGCGATGAACCCGATTCAGATGAAGTTGAAATTATAAATACATAATTTTATATCCCCTATACATACACATTTTCAATAAAATAAAATTCCACAATCATACGTAATTTTTAATTTAATTCATTACAAATAATTTTTTTTTTATTTTATTCAAAAATATAGTATATGTTTTTGTATATATATATAACATTGTAATAATATGTTTTTATGTTGTTGCTGTTTTATTATTTTTTAATATATAAATATTTAGCATTTTTTTCATCAAAATTTTTTTTCAATATAATAGTAATAAGAAAAAAAAGAAAACAAACAGATTTCTTGTTGTTGTTTTATATTACAGAAATATTAGAGCAATAATAATAATGGAAATATTTTTGCTGGAATTTGAATATATTTCTTTTTTATAGAGAGATAATTTTAAAGAAATATAATGGATATTAAAAATAAATATTTAATTCTATAAAATAAATTTCCAACACACAAAATAGAGATATGTGTTTTTTGTTTCAAAATAGTTTATGTTTCTTTTTCAATTCCTGTTGTTTCCATGCGGGTAATTCATCAAATTCATAGAAGGACATATTGAACAGGGATACGAAGTCATCGTGGGTTAAGTGGACCTGAAACGAAAAAAAATGGAAAATAAAATTGAAATTAAATGCATATAATTTTTTAAAGAATATTTTTGAAAAGGACTAGATGAAGTGTCGATTTTTTAAAGAATATTTTTGAAAAGGACTAAAAGAGGCGTGGATTTTTTAAAGATTATTTTTGAAAAGGACTAAAAGAGGCGAGGATTTTTTAAAAAATATTTTTGAAAAGGACGTGGATTTTTTAAAGAATATTTTTGAAAAGGACGTGGATTTTTTAAAGAATATTTTTGAAAAGGACGTGGATTTTTTAAAGAATATTTTTGAAAAGGACGTGGATTTTTTAAAGAATATTTTTGAAAAGGACGTGGATTTTTTAAAGAATATTTTTGAAAAGGACGTGGATTTTTTAAAGAATATTTTTGAAAAGGACGTGGATTTTTTAAAGAATATTTTTGAAAAGGACGTGGATTTTTTAAAGAATATTATTGAAAAGGACTAAAAGAGGCGTGGATTTTTTAAAGAATATTTTTGAAAAGGACTAAAAGAGGCGTGGATTTTTTAAAGAATATTTTTGAAAAGGACTAAAAGAGGCGTGGATTTTTTAAAGAATATTTTTGAAAAGGACGTGGATTTTTTAAAGAATATTTTTGAAAAGGACGTGGATTTTTTAAAGAATATTTTTGAAAAGGACTAAAAGAGGCGTGGATTTTTTAAAGAATATTTTTGAAAAGGACTAAAAGAGGCGTGGATTTTTTAAAGAATATTTTTGAAAAGGACTAAAAGAGGCGTGGATTTTTTAAAGATTATTTTTGAAAAGGACGTGGATTTTTAAAAGAATATTTTTGAAAATGTCGTGGATTTTTTAAAGAATACTTTTGAAAAGGACGTGGATTTTTTAAAGAATATATTTGAAAAGGACTTGGATTTTTTAAAGCATATTTTTGAAAAGGACGTGGATTTTTTAAATAATATTTACAATTTACCTCGTCTATAGAAGACACTCTTTAGTGTAGCCTATAAAGGCTCCCTTTGACTTTAAATACCTTCTTTATAGAAAAGACCCCCCTCCAACCCGTCAAACTCCTTTCAGTTCGCCTATAAATACTCCCTTCAGTCCGTCTATAGAGACTGCCTTCAGTTCGCCTATAGAGACTCATTTCAATTGTCCATAGAGACTGCTTTTAGTTCGTCTATAGAGTCTCACTTCATAGAGACTCCCTTCTGCAGCTGTTCGTCTATAATCACCTTTAGCTTGTCTTTAGAAGACCCCCAACAGGGTCGTCTATAGAAGACTCTTAAGCTCAATAGGTACTTACTTCAGCTCGTCTATAAACTAAGCTGAACCCACCTTCCCTACCTTCCAGGATATTTCATTTAGAAAAAATTGGTCAACTCACCTCTCTCTTCAGGGGATTGACCTCCTCGGGTAGTAAATCGATTTCCTGTTGCAGCATAACAATTGGATATTTTTGATGACGATCGAAATCTTTTTGGTTATTCAAAATCGAAGGTGGCAATTTGCCATTTTCACCATTCGCAGGCAAAGCGGCACTGCCATTTGTAAGGACCGAGGAACCTGACGACACCATTTGACGTTTCTGTTCATAGTTGATGTAATTCTGAAATAAAAATAAACGAATATGAAATATTTCAAATAAAAAATTAAATATAAATACTTACATTCCACATCCCGGTATTCCATGAATCAAAGAACCCCTTGAAAACATTCGGCTCATCGCATTGATGTATCACCCCAATGGCGGTGGTGGGTCGGCGGGCAATTGGCACCGTTTCCAAATAGTTTTGAGCCATGCTCATATATTTCGCCTTCTCGTGGCAGCTTAGATATTTTCCCAACCACACATAGGTTATAATACCAGCATCCAGGATATACATACACTCGGGCGATAGATCTCCCTGGTCATAACCCAAAATCTCTTCGGAAAAGAATTTATTGCGTAAATTCCAAACGGCAAACAGTTGAGCCTGGAAGCGAGGTTTTGTGTTGGGCGGTGAGCATGACCCGAGATATGTCGAACCACCACAGCTGCTACCATTCGAATTGATGGGTGATGCAGTACCAATACTGGAACTACCATTACTACTGCTGGAATTTGCCGAATGATTCATGCCGCTCATAATAAGACTTTGGTTCATTAGATTTGTCACCGAACGCCAAAATTCTTTGGGTTCTTTACCCTCCAATACCAAGGAACTTTCACCCAATAGAGCACCGATATTCTTTGCCAATTCACGGGCATCACCGGTCGACGATTGTCCGCACCACACCCAGACATGTTGGGATTTCACGACAAAACATTCTTTGGCGGACATTGAGGTTAGGGGGAAAACTTCAACAGCTTTGGCATTGTAGGTAGCATCTCCGAATACTTTGAGGACCAAAGATTCTGAATCGTGACCATTGGAAATTATGTGATTGTTGTTGTTGTTGTGTGGTAGACTCCTCTCACTGAGCAGTATAATTAATTTACCCTCGAACATCTGTAGAAAATGTGGGGTCTCATCGTATTCGCTCATTTGCACAAACATGGTTTTCTGACTGGCGGTATCGAACAGATTTTTGGCAAATTTCTCCGCTTTATTTGTAATGTCCGCTGAGGCCTCGGATCCATTCCATTGATAGATGATTTGTTTTATGCCAACACTTTCACTGTCATTCGGATTCATTGACCAGCTCTGAAAATTGAGGGGAAAACATTAAAGAGAAAATCGTCTACAGAGAATCCTTTCAGATCGTTTAGTGAGACTCTTCGTCAGAGACCACCGTTAGCCTATAGAGACGACCTGAAGCTAGTCTATTTCCATTAGCTTGCCTATAGAGTATCCTTTCAGGACGCCTATTGATACCACTTTCTGGTCGCCTATTGATACCACTTTCTGGTCGCCTATAGAGGGTTCTTATCTAAAAACAACGGACTTCCTATAGGTTCGACTTTCAGCTCCCCTATATAGACTACTTCAGAGAATGCCTTCCGTCTATAAAGATGACCTCCATTACCTGATCTTCAGTTCGCCTATAGATATTATCTTTAGCTCGCCTATAGATACGATCTTCAGCTCGCCCATAGATACGATCTTCAGTTCGCCTAAAGAAGCGATCTTCAGCTAACCTGTGGAGACGATCATCAGTTCTCTTATGGAGACGATCACCAGTTCGCTTATGGAGATGATCTTCAGCTCGCCTATGAAGACGATCTTCAGTTCGCCTATAGAGACGATCTTCAGCTCGCTTATAAAAACGATTATCAGTCCCCAACATAGCCGATCTTCAGATATTGTATAGAGATGATCTAAATCAAGACTATGGAGACGATCTTCAGTTCGCCTAAAGAAACGATCTTCATCTCTCATACGGAGAGGATTTTCAGCTCGCCTATGGATACGATTATCAGTTCCCTTACATAGCGGATCTTCACGTAGCCTATAGAGATGATCTACATCATGACTACGGAGACGATCTTCAGCTCGCCCATGGAGACGATCTTCTGTTCGCCTAAAGAAACGATCTTCAGCTCACAGGTGACCTATGGAGACGATCATCAGCTACCTTATGGAGACGATCTTGAGCTCGTCTATGTTGACCTTCAGTTCGCCTATGAAGACGATCTTCAGAATACCTACGGAGCCGATCTTCAAGTAGCATAGATCAAGTAGATCATCATGACTTCGGAGATCTTCAGCTCACCTAAAGAAACGATCGTCAGCTCACCTATAAAGACGATAGTCAGCTCGCCTATGAAGACGATCTTCAGCTTACCAATGGAGTCGATCGTCATCCCGCCCATGGAGACGATCTTTAGATCGCTTATAGAAATTATCATCTGCTCGCCTATGGAGTCGATAGTCAGCTCGCCCATGAAGACGATCTTCAGATCGCCTATAGAAATGATCGTCAGCTCGCCAATGGAGATCGTCTCCAAGCACGCCTATGGAGATGATCATGGAGACGATATTCAGCTCGCCTATAGAGAAGATCTTCAGTTCGTCTAAGAGAAGATCTTTAGTTCGTCTTTATTTCGTCTATGGGGACGATCATCAGTTTGCCTATGGAGACGATCATCAGCTCGCCTATGGAGACTATCTTCAAATCACCTATGGATACGATCTCCAGTTCACCTATAGAAACGAACTTCAGCTACCCTAGATCGTTATAGGTACTGCCTTCAGCTCGCCTATAGACACTGAATGACGTTCGTCTCTTTTGGTTCCCTCCCGTTTTTCAATAGAGATTCTCTTCCGCTCATATATAGAAATTCCATATCGCTCGACAATAAAGATACCCTTCAGGTCGTCTATAGAGTCTCCCACCCGCTCATTTATAAAGACTTCTTACCGCTCTTCTATAAAATCTCTCTTCCCTTCATCTCTTCTGTCTATGAAAATTCCCTCCCGCCTGTCTAAAATACTGCTGATCCTCACTTTAATATCATGGAACAGTAGGTCCCCATAGTTTCAATACTCACCACCACCGTGTACTGGACAACATAGGAATTCAGTGTGGTAAAATAGACCGCCTTCGTCGTTGGCATTTCAATGACCTGATCTTTGGTAATGCGAAAGATTTTACGTTCTCCGGAACCATCATCGATTAATTGGGTTTCGGCAGCCATTTTGGGTCTCTGACACAGAGTCATTGAATCGAATTTACCCAAAATTGTGGAAGTGGGTTTCAGTGGCATATCATTACAATCACCATGCCAAGAGGGAAAGAGGCGCATAAATTCCGCCGGTTCATGGCCCTCAATGACACGAATAACCGGTGTGCTGTATGGATATTTTTTCTGTAAATGAAAAGCCACAATGAATTACTCCATTCGAAATAAAAATGTTTGGTTGGATAGCGCCTTACCTTCTTAACAAATGCCCTGCCATTACCCATGGCATTGGTTTTATCCTGCTGCGAAGCCTGGCTGCCCACCCACAACCAAATACCCTGAGCAAAACCGTCCAAAACATAGGCCGTTGTGGAATCACTAAAATCTTCACGTGTCGGTATCACCACATCCAGCTGATCCAAGTGAAGGCGATTATTGCGATAGCAACATTTGTAGATTTTCAATTTATTGCAGACGGGTTTCTCGGGTATCGGAGAGTTCTGACACACCGATCTCTGTGAGAGAGGCAGAAAGGTGTTCCATTCATTTTTCCTCTTCTCCGGCATAGATTGTTCGTAACCATCATCGACAATGGTCAGTTGGGTGCTGTCCTTTTGCCATTTACTTGCCAAATCGATGGCATTACGACGTTCGACATTGGACGACGAGCGGCCGATCCAGACATATAAATGATTTGCCGTTGAGAGCAGCATAACATAGTCGGCCCCGAAATGTTCCCACGATATTGTTGGCATTTCAACACAACGCAGCCATTTACGGCCATAGACCTGATACAAACGATTTGGTTCGGCGGAATTTAAATGTTGACCGCATTTTATGCTGTTAAATTGGGGAAAAAAGACAGAATTTATTTTGTATCACTGAAACAAGTTTGTTCTGTCGTTTTTTTACTTACGTAATACCCTTTTTGAAATAGGACAAAAATCTGGCACTCTCATTGCCCTGCGTTTCGCGATATTCGACTGCAACATTATTGAAATAAGAGTCCAGCTCTTGTATTTTATGCGCCACATTGGAACGTTTTTGTTCGGAAACTTTTTCGCCCAGCCAAAAGTGTATAAAACGTTCTAAGCTAACAGAAGGTTTCACTTCGCGAGTCTGAAAAGAAAGGGTAAAAATATTTTAGAAATTTTTGCAGATCTCAAAAGGAACTGAGCTGTGGAACCTAACGAAGCAGAAACCCGTAAAACGAGCAGATAAAACATAGGAAATGGTCCTTAAGAACAAACTTCGATAGCATAACCAGAATGGAATAGAATCACCATTTACAGACGACCTTCAGTTCGCCTTATAGACGATCTACAGTCCGCCTACAGATACGATCTTCAGCTCGCCCATACAGATTTGTAGCTCGCCAATAGAGACGATCTTCAGCTCTCCTGTAGAGACGATCAACAGCTCGAATATAGAGACGCACATGGAGAAGATCTTCACCTCGCCTATAGAGACAATCTACAATAGAGACGATCTTCAGTTCGCCTATAGAGACGAACCTCAGCTAGACTATAGAGACGACCTTCAACTCTCCCATAGAGACGATCTACAGCTTGTCCATAGTGATTATGTTCATATCGCTTATAGAGATGACCTTTAGTTCGAGACGATCTACAGCTCGTCCATAGAGGCAACCTTCAGTTCACCTATTAAGAGGATCTTCAGCTCGTCTATAGTGAAGATCAGCATCATGTCTATAGACAAGAGCTACAGCTCGCCTATAGAGAAGATCTTCAGCTCGCCTATGGAGAGTAGGTGAAGGGAGGATGCCATCTATCGTTGATTAGAAACAATTCCTCCCTGACTTTTGTAGAGTTACGAAGTCACGTCGCAAATAAATTAGGTAATTTACACGCCTATAGAGACGATCTACAGCTCGCCTATAGAGACAACCTTCAGCGCGCCTATAGCTCTTCAGCTTACTTGTAAGAACAATCTTCAGCTCGCTTATAGAGAAGATCTTCAGCTCGCCTATAGATACAACCTTCAAAAATAGAGACTAAGTGAAGGTGAGGCTGCCATCTATCGTTGACTAGAAACAAACCCTCCATGGCTTGTGTAAAGTTAGACAATCTGGTTCCTAAGGCGGTTCGCATCGCCAATAAATTTGGTTATTTACTTAGTTCCGTAGTTCATTTTAGTTCAATTGTTCATTGGAATACACCAATAAATTCGAACAAGGAAAGGAACAATCTCGATAATCTACTGTATCTAAAATGGAACTAGGAGGGACTACAGCAAAAGAAACTGATTAACGACAGTTTTGGACTTGGTACCGATCATTCTTTTTGCAGAATAGGTCCTAGTTCGTTTCAGAGTTATCCAATGCTACATTTTTGTGCATTGGTTGGAGTCTTTTGACTTGTCATTTTCCTCTAGGTGGCGCCAATTCTTGCCATTCCGATAGTGCATTACCCTCATGTGTTCATGCCGAGATTCCAATAGATTCGAACCCGGGATAAAAGGTGAATGACGAGAACGACGGAGAAAATGGAACCAGATAAACGAAAATACCATATCTAGTACCGATCGTTCCTTTGGTGGAATAGTTCATTTGAACAAGTTCTTTCCGGAACGACCCAACGATGATTTTGTGCATTCGCTAGAGTCCCTGCTCATTTCTGTGTTGCCATTTTCCTCTAGGCGGCGACATATCCTGCCATTTCGACAGGGTGTCAAGCTCATGTGTTGATGCCGATGTTGATGTGCTGATAATGTGTAACGCTCTTGTGTTCGCTGTAACGCTGTGTGTAACGCTCTTGTGTTCATTCGGAGTTTCTTTATTAGAATTTCAAGAGGTTTCGGATACATTTAATACGGAGTGGGGTGTACGACTCTTTCATAAAATCGAAAACCACTTTGAAAGTATTTTTCTTCTCCGCTGGGCTTCGAACGCGGGATCAAACGGATCTAGTTGAACGAGAGGAAAAGCTAAAAGGAACGACTGGAGCAAAACTAACAAGATAAACGAAAAAACCGAATCTAGTACCGATCGTTCCTTTTGAGGAATAGTTTCTTTGAACAAGTTTTTTTCTGGAACGACCAAACGCTCGATGTTTGTGCAATGATTGGTGTCTTGTTTAGCCTTGCCATTTTTCTCTAGATGGCGTTATTTCCTGCCATTCGGACAGGGTGTCACGCTCATGTGTTGATGGCGATGTTGGATATACGAATTTCAGGTTGTTTCGGATATATTTCATATATAGCGGGATGTAAACTCTTAAACAATTCGAAAACCATTTGGAAGTATTTTTCTTCTCCGCTGGGCTTCGAACCCGGGATCAAAGGGAACTAGTTAAACAAGAGCAAAAGCCGAATGGAACGACTGGAGCAAAACTAACTAAACCGAATCTAGCGCCAATCGTTCCTTTTGATGAATAGTTTCATTGAACCAGTTCTTTCTGAAACGACCCAGCACTACATTTTTGATCAGTGGTTGGTATCTTTGTTTGATTAGTCTTGTCATTTTCCTTTGGGTGGCACTATCTCCAGACATTCCATTTTTGTGTTACTATCAAAGGTTCATGCCGATGTTGGTTATTGGAGTTTTCAGATACATTGGAACTGGAGCGGGATGCAAGTCTCTTTTGAACTAGATAGTTCCTGTGAACCAGTTCGTTCCCGAACGAACGAGCGCTAGATTTTTTTGCAGTGGTTGGTATCCTTGCTTATTTCTGTGTCATCGTTTTCCTCTAGGTGGCGCCATCGCCTGCCATTCAGATAGTGTGTCATGCGCATATGTTGATGCCGATGTTCAGGTGGTTTTGGATATATTTCATCTGGAGCGAAATGTAAGCCTCTTTAAAAAATGTTCAGATACTTTGGAAGCAGTTTCCGTCTCCGCTGGGATTTGAACCCAGAATCAATGGCACAAAAGATGAGCAAGGACAACATTTGAAAGGAACTACTGGAAGAAAATGAACTAGACTAACGAAAGAACTGTATCTAAACCGTATATAGGAAGGAAGGCATCGACCTTCCTTTTGCGGAATTTTTTCTTTAAACTAATTCTTTCCGGAACAAACCTAGATTTTTGTGCATTGGTTGGGTTCTTTGCTTATTTAGTTCTGCCATGTTCCTAGAGGTTGCCATGTTCTCATAGGTGGCGCCATCTCTTGCAATTCCGATAGTATGTTACGCTGATGCGTTGATACCGATTTTGGTTGGTATTTTGGGGGATTTTTGGGCTGGAGTTTTAACCTAATCCGCTACAATTAGGTATTTTGGGTTCTAAAGGTGTAGAAAATATTTTTACTAAAAATGAACAATATTCACCCACTTTATAGGGTAGCCTCCATCTAACGGTAACCCTCAGTTTTCAGTATTTTGGGCACGTTTTTAAACCGAATTGGCTGTAATTTAGAATTTTGGATTCGAATTGGGTAGAAAATCTTCCTACGAAAAATTATCAATATTGGTCCCTTTTTTACGATGGTCCCTATATAAGTGTACCCCTCAAATGTTCGATATTTTGGGGAGTTTTGGCCCATTTTTCAATCGAATTGACTGTAATTTGGTATTTTCGAATCTCATTGGGTAGAAAATCTCCTTACCAATAATTATTAATTTCGGTTCACTTTTTGTTATAGCCGCCATAGAACGGTACACCCCGACGTTCGGCATTTCGGGTGTCTGGGCAGGTTTTTAATTAGGTAAGAAACTCTTCTATCAAAAATTAGGAATATTCGGGTATCTCCCATATAACGGCACCTCCCACAATTTGGTATTTCGGGAAATTTGGGTACGTTCGGAACTTAACCTTTTTTCTCTAAATTCTTAATACTTACAATTGTATCCTGATTGACAAATGATCCGACCGGTGCTGCAGCATAAATAATATAAGCACAATCATCGACAAATGTTCCATACTGAGCTTTCGGTTCCGCTTCCAAACGATCTTCATCAATTTTCCAGACATGAAAGCAGATTGCATTCTTTGGTATTCGACGAAAAGATGCATCTACTTTGACATCGGCAATGGTATTGGGACGGACCTCCTGCAAGAAAACAAAAATTAATTTTTACAAAATAATAACAAATATTTGTAGTTGTTGCTGTTGTTGTCTTTAATTATTTGATTGAGGTTATGGTACATTTCCATTAATAGCTGTCACTTCATTACCAATCTTTTTTTTTTCTGAACCAGAGGATGGATGTAAAGAGGCGTAACCATATGATGAACGTTAGCGGTGAAACGAACGTTACAAACTGTTATGCTTCAAAAATAATTGCGGACAATTAATTGTTGTTGTAATTGTGTTCTTGGGAGTAATTTAACGGAATATTCTTAGAGTTGGTTGCGAAGTGGAAAAAAATGGAAAAACAAAGAGGGTTCGTAATGATAAAAAAATAGTTAAAAAATCTGAGCCTCTTGATAGGACCTTAAAAATATTTTTAAAAAATCTACGCCTCTTGGTAGTGTTGAAATTATTGAATGTCCGTGTCATGGACTTCCAACACACAACATACATGCGTAGACTAATTGCGATGTGTTCGCCTAGTGTGACCTACATACAAGCGATGTAAATAGTCGTAGCATTAAGATTTCATGTTTAGTGTAAGTTGTAAATAGTTTCACTCTTAATAAAGCCGCCAGCCAGAGCACATCCACTAGGAGCAGAGCAAAATAATAATATAACAGGTAGGACCTTAAAAAATCTACGCCTCTTGGTAGGACCTAAAAAGTATTTTAAAAAGTCTTCGCCTCTTGCTAGGAACTTGAAAATATTTTTAAAAAAAATCTGCGCTTCTTGGTAGGACTTTTTGGTGGGACCTTGAACAATATTTGTAAAAAATCTACACCTCTTTTCAAATCATTTAATTTTTCTGCGGATTTTTCACTTTACAACCAATTCCAATTAGCCAAAGATGAACGCCGACAGGCCATCATAATTATATATTTATAATTTGACGTTTTTTATTATTTCAAAATAAAGAAATTATGATTGAGTTGAAAGTGGTGGTATCAGATGAAACAGCTTGTCATCTAAACAGGATCACATGGATGTCTGAACCACTTCATCATTGTCAAATGGGCGTTTTAAATATTCTTTAACAAATCCACGCCTCAGTTGGCCCTTGAAAAATATTCTTTAATAAATCCACGCCTCAGTTGGCCCTTGAAAAATATTCTTTAATAAATCCACGCCTCAGTTGGCCCTTGAAAAATATTCTTTAATAAATCCACGCCTCAGTTGGCCCTTGAAAAATATTCTTTAATAAATCCACGCCTCAGTTGGCCCTTGAAAAATATTCTTTAATAAATCCACGCCTCAGTTGGCCCTTGAAAAATATTCTTTAATAAATCCACGCCTCAGTTGGCCCTTGAAAAATATTCTTTAATAAATCCACGCCTCAGTTGGCCCTTGAAAAATATTCTTTAATAAATCCACGCCTCAGTTGGCCCTTGAAAAATATTCTTTAATAAATCCACGCCTCAGTTGGCCCTTGAAAAATATTCTTTAATAAATCCACGCCTCAGTTGGCCCTTGAAAAATATTCTTTAATAAATCCACGCCTCAGTTGGCCCTTGAAAAATATTCTTTAATAAATCCACGCCTCAGTTGGCCCTTGAAAAATATTCTTTAATAAATCCACGCCTCAGTTGGCCCTTGAAAAATATTCTTTAATAAATCCACGCCTCAGTTGGCCCTTGAAAAATATTCTTTAATAAATCCACGCCTCAGTTGGCCCTTGAAAAATATTCTTTAATAAATCCACGCCTCAGTTGGCCCTTGAAAAATATTCTTTAATAAATCCACGCCTCAGTTGGCCCTTGCCTCAGTTGGCCCTTGAAAAATATTCTTTAATAAATCCACGCCTCAGTTGGCCCTTGAAAAATATTCTTTAATAAATCCACGCCTCAGTTGGCCCTTGAAAAATATTCTTTAATAAATCCACGCCTCAGTTGGCCCTTGAAAAATATTCTTTAATAAATCCACGCCTCAGTTGGCCCTTGAAAAATATTCTTTAATAAATCCACGCCTCAGTTGGCCCTTGAAAAATATTCTTTAATAAATCCACGCCTCAGTTGGCCCTTGAAAAATATTCTTTAATAAATCCACGCCTCAGTTGGCCCTTGAAAAATATTCTTTAATAAATCCACGCCTCAGTTGGCCCTTGAAAAATATTCTTTAATAAATCCACGCCTCAGTTGGCCCTTGAAAAATATTCTTTAATAAATCCACGCCTCAGTTGGCCCTTGAAAAATATTCTTTAATAAATCCACGCCTCAGTTGGCCCTTGAAAAATATTCTTTAATAAATCCACGCCTCAGTTGGCCCTTGAAAAATATTCTTTAATAAATCCACGCCTCAGTTGGCCCTTGAAAAATATTCTTTAATAAATCCACGCCTCAGTTGGCCCTTGAAAAATATTCTTTAATAAATCCACGCCTCAGTTGGCCCTTGAAAAATATTCTTTAATAAATCCACGCCTCAGTTGGCCCTTGAAAAATATTCTTTAATAAATCCACGCCTCAGTTGGCCCTTGAAAAATATTCTTTAATAAATCCACGCCTCAGTTGGCCCTTGAAAAATATTCTTTAATAAATCCACGCCTCAGTTGGCCCTTGAAAAATATTCTTTAATAAATCCACGCCTCAGTTGGCCCTTGAAAAATATTCTTTAATAAATCCACGCCTCAGTTGGCCCTTGAAAAATATTCTTTAATAAATCCACGCCTCAGTTGGCCCTTGAAAAATATTCTTTAATAAATCCACGCCTCAGTTGGCCCTTGAAAAATATTCTTTAATAAATCCACGCCTCAGTTGGCCCTTGAAAAATATTCTTTAATAAATCCACGCCTCAGTTGGCCCTTGAAAAATATTCTTTAATAAATCCACGCCTCAGTTGGCCCTTGAAAAATATTCTTTAATAAATCCACGCCTCAGTTGGCCCTTGAAAAATATTCTTTAATAAATCCACGCCTCAGTTGGCCCTTGAAAAATATTCTTTAATAAATCCACGCCTCAGTTGGCCCTTGAAAAATATTCTTTAATAAATCCACGCCTCAGTTGGCCCTTGAAAAATATTCTTTAATAAATCCACGCCTCAGTTGGCCCTTGAAAAATATTCTTTAATAAATCCACGCCTCAGTTGGCCCTTGAAAAATATTCTTTAATAAATCCACGCCTCAGTTGGCCCTTGAAAAATATTCTTTAATAAATCCACGCCTCAGTTGGCCCTTGAAAAATATTCTTTAATAAATCCACGCCTCAGTTGGCCCTTGAAAAATATTCTTTAATAAATCCACGCCTCAGTTGGCCCTTGAAAAATATTCTTTAATAAATCCACGCCTCAGTTGGCCCTTGAAAAATATTCTTTAATAAATCCACGCCTCAGTTGGCCCTTGAAAAATATTCTTTAATAAATCCACGCCTCAGTTGGCCCTTGAAAAATATTCTTTAATAAATCCACGCCTCAGTTGGCCCTTGAAAAATATTCTTTAATAAATCCACGCCTCAGTTGGCCCTTGAAAAATATTCTTTAATAAATCCACGCCTCAGTTGGCCCTTGAAAAATATTCTTTAATAAATCCACGCCTCAGTTGGCCCTTGAAAAATATTCTTTAATAAATCCACGCCTCAGTTGGCCCTTGAAAAATATTCTTTAATAAATCCACGCCTCAGTTGGCCCTTGAAAAATATTCTTTAATAAATCCACGCCTCAGTTGGCCCTTGAAAAATATTCTTTAATAAATCCACGCCTCAGTTGGCCCTTGAAAAATATTCTTTAATAAATCCACGCCTCAGTTGGCCCTTGAAAAATATTCTTTAATAAATCCACGCCTCAGTTGGCCCTTGAAAAATATTCTTTAATAAATCCACGCCTCAGTTGGCCCTTGAAAAATATTCTTTAATAAATCCACGCCTCAGTTGGCCCTTGAAAAATATTCTTTAATAAATCCACGCCTCAGTTGGCCCTTGAAAAATATTCTTTAATAAATCCACGCCTCAGTTGGCCCTTGAAAAATATTCTTTAATAAATCCACGCCTCAGTTGGCCCTTGAAAAATATTCTTTAATAAATCCACGCCTCAGTTGGCCCTTGAAAAATATTCTTTAATAAATCCACGCCTCAGTTGGCCCTTGAAAAATATTCTTTAATAAATCCACGCCTCAGTTGGCCCTTGAAAAATATTCTTTAATAACGCCCCGCCTCAGTTGGCCCTTGAAAAATATTCTTTAATAAATCCACGCCTCAGTTGGCCCTTGAAAAATATTCTTTAATAAATCCACGCCTCAGTTGGCCCTTGAAAAATATTCTTTAACAAATCCACGCCTCATTTTTGAAACACACGCTAATAAACATGTTAACCAAGAGGCAAATGACTCTCTCATAATGGATAAGAAGACGAAGAAGTAGAAGAAGACGAACGCCAACAAAACAATGCCTAAACACCATTAGCGGAATCCCCCGTTACAATGGACCACTTATATATTGGCCACACCGGCCTAGGTGGGATAAGCGGAACACAGGCTGATTTAATGTTCGTATGGTGACATTCACTTCGTCTGCAGTGGCCGATTTTCAAAACAAAAAAAAAATCCTCTCTCCAAAGAAAAAGGAAAACTGAAACCAGTCACAAGGCAGACTCAATGACTGACAGACAAGACAGTCTCTTGACTTTGATCGGGATCATCTGGCCAACTGCTGTTTGCTGGTATAAATCGGCCATAAAGACATTATGAGAACTGGTGGCGGTGCAGCTGCTGCCTGTTTGCCTCAATGTTGGTATGTGGATCAAAACATTGTCGTCGATAATGGCCAACAACTACAACGAACAACTAATTTGAGCCCATTGGAGCGACAATGACGACGACATTGAAAACTAAACAGAAAACTTGGCCACTCATCGAACGGTATTGGTTGAGTAAATAATTGATTGAAGCGATGCTACCGAAGACCGACTAGTTGGCAGCGGGAGAAAAAATTGTCACCATTCGGAAAAAATATAGAAACTTAAATTGGTGCACTTGTTGAACGAGTGCAATTACT